CCCCCCCTCTCCCTCACACACACCCACAACTCCACCCCTTGTGAGTATCGCTATGCAGCCACACATACAAACACCACCCCTCCCTTTCCACCAACCCATACGCATACCTACCCACCTACCCGACACACACAGACCGACACAAAGGCAAACACGAAAACGCACGCTCAACAACTTCTTGGGTGATTTTTGTTATGGTTTATGCATGTGCGTAGATTGTAATGCTATTTATTATTTCACCAGCCTAATGAGGCTAGCTTTGTGAATGCTAATAATACTATCATATTATATCAACTTTAATGATGGATTCTTCACCCCTTTCTCTTTCGAGATATTCAACCTACATGTTTTCAGGCACAGCTATAGCCACACTTTCAGTTTGTTTATAGGTTTGCGAATGGTCTTGGAACTGTGGTCATGTGGGGTTTTTGGTTGGGGGGGGGGGGGGTTGTAAAAAAGAAAAAAACCCACAGGGTAACATGGTGATTGGAAACATCAAGTAAAGCAAATAGTTGCTTTTTTTAACCAACAAGACAAAGTTCAAGGTTGCTTACAGATCACATTACAATATTATCCTCGGAAAATAATATTCGATACATCTATTCGAACCAGACCCGATTAAGCTTTATCCTTTGTGTCACACACTATTTCACGATAGCGTCCTTGAAAAACAAAATATACGGTTTCCTTTTTCTCGTGTTTAGTCCCCTTGAGGATATTGGTGTTGCTGTGTTTTATGCATAGACACCGGCATTTGCATACTCTTAACGGTTTGCCAAGTTAGTGGCTGTTTGACCGATGAAAAAACGGATAGCTGTTCCCCACTTCCCCTGTCTTTAACGTTATATGATAACTCAACCGTTTCTGACATTACAAGCAGATAAGTGAGAACGATGAAGCGAAGAAAGATATGGCCCAAAAATGACCCCATCCACGAATCTCGTCTCCTTTCTCTTCAATACAGCCCCCCACCCCCACCCCCCTTTACAAGTCCCTACATAAGCACCCGCCTTCGCACATCCTCTTTCTATTCCATCAATGCCCTCCTCTGCTAATCGCTACCAAGTTCTATCTGCTATTATGACTTAAACATTTTGAGTTTCACTAGATGTCAAGCTTTTCAAATGCAACTCTTTTAAATATCTTGATAAATGCTCTGAATAATCTTACGATTTTGATAGAGCAGATAGAGCATTTTACTTCCGACTTCGTGGATTTAGTAACTCGAAATGGCCAGAAATGACAAATAGACCTTTGAGGTTCTGATGTAGGGAAATATCAGAAGCTTTTAAGGAAACCTTAGAGTACCCATAATTAGTATGCATTCATTATTAGAACCATAGCTGTACAATTGTAAAATAGAAACAAAACAACATAACACACCAAAACTTACATCTTTCTTGACGAGATAACGAAATCATTTTAGCCACAAGACAACAGATGACGGGTTCTTTTCACTTTATAAGGAGGCTAACGATCAATGGTGGGAGCCGAGCGCACGATTTTACAGTTGTAAATCGAAAGATCAAATAAATAATCATAATCATAATCTTAATCATAATAATAACAATAATAATA